ATCTGATCCAAATAGGATCTGCTTATCTACTACATATGGGCGGAGAAGGCATGTTGCAAAACCTAACTTCCTGGGATAAGATTATTTTATCTCCGAAGGTCAGAATAGCTCTCTCCCTATTGATGTGTTTTTAAGTCTATAAAGATGATCCTCTTTATACAGCGTTTGGGGTATAAGGCGCCAACACAGACAGCAGATGTCTAACACATAGTTTTAAGACTGGTTACTTCTGTGGAATAACGGAGGTATTTTTATTACGAACTTTAAAATACGAGGACCAAACGATGTGCATGAAAAGCATTTGTGGTTTTACTATTTGTGTTATTTTTATTAGATTGTGAACTGCCTTGAATCTTGAATGGAACCAGCATAAATTGATAGAAGTAAACTAACAGAAGTACCCATGTGAAATCAATAGCACTTGTATAAAAGAATTTTTCTTTGTCCCTCTTTTCTCTCAGTTTTCCAGAATGGATTTATTCTGTTTCATTTTAGATCATACATTCCAGAAAAAATAATTTTTATCTGAGTAATCTCTGATCTTCTGGCCACTGGTACAACAGGGGGCGCACCTCTCCTTTTGTAGCAGAATATCCTGCATCAACACCTTTTTTTTCTAAGCTAGCAGAGTTTTCAGCTTGTGAATGGTGACAGTAACGTCTGCATCAAAGGAAACTTCAACCAGCCCCAACAGGTTTCTGAAAGCTGAAGTTTAAACCAGTGTCAGATGACCAACTAATACAGATCAGATTGAAAATTTCAGCTGCCGCAGAGTTATGCCATGTGCATGTCTTAGAAAGAATTTAATTTATCACATTTAATTTAATTTATCGCATTTCTATGCCGCCCAACTCCCAAGGGACTCTGGGTGGCTTACAGCAAAAATAATGCGAACAATGAACATAGAAAAATTATTAAAAACATTATAAAAACATTTTAAAAACATTAAAAGCCCATGCACACCATTCATGGCCGGATCTCGCAAGATTGCAACAGCGAGATCAATGGCCCCAAGCCTGCCGGAAAAGCCAGGTTTTCATCGCTTTCCGGAAGGCCAATAGGGTGGGGGTAGTCCGGATCTCAGGAGGTAACTGGTTCCAGAGAACTGGGGCAGCCACAGAGAAGGCCCTCCCTCGCGGGCCTGCCAGCCGGCATTGTTTAGCTGACAGGACCCGGAGGAGACCAACTCTGTGGGATCTTACCGGTCGCTGGGAGCTATGCGGTAGAAGGCAGTCTTGAAGATAGCCTGGCCCTGATATAGAAGCCATACTATATCCAGTAGAATTTATTTTCAGGTCAGTGTGCCTAGGAGCAGCATCCTATGTTCAAGTAGGCCAGATCAGAGTTCAAATAATTACCGTATTTTTCAGAGTATAAGACACACTGCAGTATAAGAAGTACCTTAATTTTTGGGGAGGAAAATAGGTAAACAAAATTCCGCATAGCAGGTATTCAACTGGCTAGCATCCTTAGCCTGGCAAGCTTCAGCACATTAGTTTGCTGGTTTTGAGTGTGCGCCTGGTTGGGGCTGAAATACAGCTTCTAAAGCTGTATTTGTCAGAGGGAGCTGATCGTCGGAGGGAGCAGCAATGAGAACAGCAGACAAAGCACGGAATATCGCTTCACTCGCAGGTGCCTCGTTGAGGCTAAAAAACAGCTTGAAAAGCCCAGCTGATCGTCGGAGGGAGCTCCAGTGACTAAAGTAGGTAAAGCACGGAAGGGGTAAGAGAAGGCAGGAGCTGTTTCAGGTAGCCATTTTGGGCATCCTGCATCGTGTTTTCAGCCTCAAAACGCATCGTGTTTTCGGGTGGCGATGGGTGGCGATGTGCTTTGGTGATCCCTGCAGTCTAGAAACAGAGAATTTGGAGGCTGAAAAAGCACCGTGCAGTGCCCAAAATGGCTAAGCCATTGTCTGTAGTAATCTCTGCAGCAAGGAAGAAGACACGCGGAGGCTGAAGGGTGGGGGCCAGTGGGTGGGTGGGGCTACATTCAGAGTATAAAATGCACCCAAATTTGTTGCACAAAAAGGAAAAAGACTTTTCAGAGTTCATGCATATTCCTTAGCTTGCCTTGTTTTATGTGCCTTATGCTTTAAATTTAACGCAGGCTTAATCTGTTGGGAAGGTTTGAAAGCCCATCCTTTACATTCATCTCTGTATAAGAATGAAAAATATCAATATCAAAAGCAAAGCGTGATTCTAAGTACTGCGAGGCAAAATCAACTAGGTGTTTTAGGAGAGGACCATTTTTTCTCAATTGACAAGCTAGTCTTGGTTTTATCTATATATTTAATAAGTTGGCAAACAAATCACAGGGCGCCGTCAGCCTGCTTAGTTGTCCATTCTTCTTCTTTATAGCCTAAGTTTACACATCTCCAGTTTTCAGAGACGGCTTACCTCAGGTTTTCAAATTTGGAATGAAAAAATTCCAAAACAAGAACGTCGAAAACTATGGTTTGCATCTTGCCGGAAGGTCTGAGACTAGTCGCAAAATCCAGATGACCAACAAATAGCAGCAAAGATATACCAAAAAAAAAAAAAAAAAAAAAGAGGACTCTTTGGTTTCAGCCAGGGGTGCTATTCAGCAGGTTCTGACAGGTTTTGGAGAATCAGTAGCGGAAATTTTGAGCAGTTCGGAGAACCGGCAAATACCACCTCTGGCTGGCCCCAGAGTGGGGTGGGAATGGAGATTTTGCAATATCCTTCTCCCAGGAGTGGGGAGCGAATGGGGATTTTGCAGTACCCTTCCCCTGCCATGCCCACCAAGCCACGCCCACCAAGCCACACCACGCCCACCAAGCCACGCCCACAGAACCGGTAGTAAAATAATTTGGATTTCACCACGGGTTGCAACCTATTTGTTTTTTTGTTTTTTCCCCATTAAAAGTCTTGAACTTCCCAGAAAACAAATTTGTTGAATTTGTCTTTATGGACAGACTTCGCTCACCTAGGTCCTCCTTATAAAGTCCTCAGATTGACTTCGCTTTTGTTTTGTTTTGGCAGGAAAGGAGGGAGCAAATGTGTCTATGTTCAAACAAAGCACTGGCTTGGGAGAGGCAACCTGTACCCCTAAAGAGATTTAGGACCACCAATTCCGCAGTTGGCAATATTGGCTAAGTCTGATGGGTGCTGAAGTGCAAAACCTGTTGAGGACATCAAATTGCCTATCCTACACTGGACTGTATCCATCTACTATTATGTTTTTTAAAGTCTATAGAAAGTTATGTTAGGTCCCTATATTCTTGAAAATAACGATGATAACCGGGACTGGCTATTTAAAATAATCCCTATACTTTTGTAAAAAAAAAAAAAAAAAAAAAAAATCAAGTGTAGAGGAGACTTGATGATTGCCACAGAAAATATTCCATCTTCAGTCATAGGACATTAGTTTAGTTTTATATTAAATTTATATACTGCCCTTCTCCCGAAGGACTCAGGGCGGTGTATAGCCAGGATAAAAAACCCACAATATAAAAGTTAAAAACAATTTAAAATTATTAAATAGTTTGGCCCACAATCTAAAATAACATAAAATAACCCATTAAAAATAATATTTTAGGCCAGCCCTGCTTGATGGAATAATAATGTTTTAAAGGCACGGCGAAAGGTACGAAGGTCGGGAATCCGACGAATCTCTGGGGGCAGCTCGTTCCAGTGGGTAGGTCCCCCACAGAGAAGGCTCTCCCCCTGGATGGGGGAGATGGAACACTCATTGTGCATGTGTAGAGTTCTCCATCCCTTCTATACCAGTGATCTTAGCTGCACTGAAATGCCAGACAATGATGTTGCATGCATTTGCGAGAATTCTTGCTGTAGTATGACCCAAATATCAAAGTCAATGCATGGACACTGAGAGAAAGGCAGCATTAATGATTTGTGATGGGTGTCACTTTAAAAAAAAAGAAAGAAGCTGCAACCTCAGCTCAACCTTGACTCAAGTATCAGTCTTTTACTTCTTTCCCGTAAAAGACTGTCATTCATTCCTTATTACAGTAGGAACAAACCACTGACTTTGGGGACATTATGGTAATTAATAAAGCCTGACCGTACACTGCATGGCTGCATCTTCAGTAACTAAACTACTACAAGGAGATGAATTACAGTCCCAAAAGACTGATGCAATATGGATGTACCCTTCCCACAGAACTGGCACCAAGGTGAATGAGGCTTGTGTCTGTGCATCTGTATATACGCATGGCCCTGCATGCACATATGCTTCAAGAAGTCTTTGTTTTAACAATGTCCATGCTTAGTGCAGAAAATTATAAAAATGGAGGGAGATGTGATTGGATGTCCCACCTTCTGAATTAAAATTGGAAAAGATTGGATTAGGACACAGTTTAGCAGGAAGATGTTTTCTTAGTACATAAAGCCTCTACCTCTGCTATTTGACCCATGGAGAAAAACAAAAAGGTAAAGGTAAAGGTTCCCCTCGCACATATGTGCTTGTCGTTCCCGACTCTAGGGAGTGGTGCTCATCTCCGTTTCAAAGCCAAAGAGCCAGCGCTGTCTGAAGACATCTCCATGGTCATGTGGCCGGCATGACTAAACGCCAAAGGTGCACGGAATGCTGTTACCTTCCCAGCAAAACTGGTCCCTATTTTTCTACTTGCATTTTTTACGTGCTTTCGAACTGCTAGGTTGGCAGAAGCTGGGACAAGTAACGGGAGCTCACCCCATTATGCGGCACTAGGGATTTGAACCGCTGGACTGCCGGCTTTTCGATCGACAAGCTCAGTGTCTTAGCCACTGAGCCACCACGTCCCTGGAGAAAAACATAGTCTCCATCTAATAACATGATTTCCATCCTGGAGGGGAGAGGGGGCAGCAAACTCTATTTCAAGAGGAAATTTAGATCTCAGAGTAGATTAAACTCTCCTTTCCCACCCAGTATCATAATCTGGATTATTTTGTGCATCCTTTTTTTTTTAAAGGTCAGCATAGCCCCTGGTATTAGTCAGCTTGAGAGCAGGGAGTGAGGCCATCCATCCAAACACTTACCTTGGTTGTTTTAATTTTGTTTCCACTGCTGCATGACCAACCTGAGTAATCTGGAAGCACTTTACATTCCTCTCCTTCCAGACAAGGTTCCATATGACACCACCACTTCTGGATAACAATGGCAGCTGGAAAGCAAAAATGAAGTCATTTCAGAACTACATGCAACAAATGGGACCCAGAAAATGCTGCCGGGAAGCAGCTAATAGCTACTTTGATCTTCCCATCCTTGGCATCTCCAAATGTGTTGAAGCTGCAGGCCAAAAGATGGGAATTTTGGGAGTTTCATTGCCAACACAACTGAAAGTCTATGCAGATTCTCAGTCATGCAGGTCATGGTTGTCCCAAAGGTGTTTTTTCCTCCACCTATTTTTCCCCAACTGGACTTTCTTGCTTTTGCTTGAAGACATTTCACTTCTCATCCAAGAAATTTCTTCAGTTCTAATTAACTTGTGGGAAAAGGAAAGATCCTTTGAAGAGAACAAGGTTCGCATTCTAGACAGAGAGGACCAGAAGCTTGAAAGAAGAGTCAAAGAAACTATGTTGAAACTGAACAGAGATCAGGGAGCATGACACCACCTATGTCTTACAATCAGTGGTAGGTTGCTCCCGGTTCAGTCCGGTTCTTGTGAACCGGTAGTAATGGCGGTGGGAGGCTCCGCCCACCCACCCAGACGTCATCATGAAATTCCTGAGCATGCTCCCATTACGAACCAGTAGCGGAGGTTAGTAGAACCCACCCCTGCTTACAGTGCAGTCCTTTCAGCAGTCCCAAGGCACTTCCACACTTTTTTGCACTCTGATTCAGGTGACTCTGAGGACACAAATTAATTCCCAGACCAGGGGTTGGCAAACTTAAACATTCAAAGAGCCACTTGGACCCGTTTCCCAAAGAAAAAAAACACACCGGAGCCACAAAACCTGGGTGGGCATGGCCAACTCAATGTCACTCACTCACCCAGTCACATGACCCCCCCTAGTCAAACCATTCTGTCTCTTTCCCTTCTTCCTATCTCCCTCTCTCTCCCCCCATGTCTCTCTCCTTCTGTATCTCTCCCTCTCTTCCCCTCTCTCACCCCTCTCTATGTATCACTCTGTATGTGTCTCTATGTCTCTCTCTCTCCCCCCCCCCATTTCTCTCTCTGTGTGTCTCTCCCCCTCCCTTTGGGTAACCGTCCTCCTTCTCCCCCTCCTCTTGTGATGTCCTGGACGGCTTTGGCTGAGCCAGGAGTGTGTGCATGGGCGGGGAGACCCTCCCCAAACGAGCACCAAAGCACAGCAAAGGCACCCGCGGGGTGAGCGGCTGCTTGATTAGGAGGGTCTTAACAGGATGGGACTTCTTTCCTGCACTAATGCTCTGGCCATCGCCTTGCTGTTTCATCCCCCACCCCCAGCAGCTCTTCGCTGCTGAGTGCGGAGGGTGCGAACTCCAGCCTGAATCGGCAGGAAGCAAAGGCTGCCTTACGTGCAAATGTGGCGCGAAGGTAGGTACAGGGCAGCTTCTCTCCTGCACTCTCCTCCTCTCCCACTCTCGTGATGCCCTGGCCGGCTGTGGCTGAGCCGGGAGCATGCGCACACATGGAGAGACCCTCCTTAAGCAAGCCGCTGCCCACCCTGCGCGCACCTTTCCTGAGCTTCGGTACTCGCTTGAGGAGGGTCTCTCTGTGTATGCGCACGCTCCTGGCTCAGCCACAGCCGGCCAGGGCTTCACGAGTGTGGAAGAGCCACACTCAAGGAGCCAAAGAGCCGCATGTGGCTCGCGAGCCGTGGTTTGCCGACCACTGTCCCAGACGGTTTCAACAACTATCGGTGTTAGCTGCTGACTGAACTGACTGGGAAGAGTATAAATCATTTCCATTCTCTACCAGTTAGTTAGACCTGAAGAAGCTTCTTGGATGAGAAGCGAAAAAGTTTTAAGAAAAACCAAGAAATCAAATCCAGTTGCTGTTTGCAGACAAGCACCTTTGGGACAGCACATCTGAAAAGGAAAGGCCCTTGCTATACCATGGGATCGGTGTAAGGAAGGATAATAAACTGCAATTTCCAACGAGAATGTTCCTCCCTTTCCTTCTAATCCAACTAAGGTTCTCTTGACAGAAAGTTACACACACACAAAAACCCATTAAATGCTAGAAAAAGAACATTTTAAAACCACATAAGAAAAAAAAATCAATGTCAGTTAAACAGAACAAAACAGAAACAACATTTCTATGCACACAGAGAAATTGGCATTTTTATTTTATTTTCTTCTCCTGTTGAGTAGTCCCATCCTGGCTTTCACTATGCTGGAAATTGCTTCTGAAATTGTACGTTTTTTTTTCTTACGGCAGTTTGTGAAACAACAGTCAAGAATAAGTGCCTTAGGGGAAGAGCATGGAGGAAGTTGTTTGAGTCACCACAATTTCATGAATGAATTTTTAGGCCCAATTATTCTCATATGCATGTCCTTAAGGATTTTCTCTAGGAGGCATTCTGTAAACAGTATCCTCTTTCTCACATCAAAAGGATCTTCAAAAAGAATTCACACATCTCATTTTTCCAATTCTCCAAGCTATGGTTTGAAAGGAACTGAAATATATGCATTTAATTATTCACTGATATTTGTATTCTGCTCTGCTCTGGAGATTCTAAGCGGCCAAAATGAAGATCATCAGAAAGATTTAAAACATTTGAGACATTGGGTTGTTGTTGTTTTTTAAAGACCTAGATCTTTGTTCTGTGAAATAACAGGATCACTAGACTGCTCTGGAATTTGGAGGTGGGTACATTCCATAGAGATGGGATAACTGTTGAAAAGGACTGATTCTTCTGCTCTTGATCCTACTGAGGAAGGATGCCTCAAGTTCAGAAGAATCCCTCATCACCTCATCCAGAGTTGGGTTTCACATATTTTTACCACCGGTTCGCCGCCCGTGTGTGCCTTCCGCGCATGCGCCCAGCCTTCCGTGCATGTGCTTTGCTCACGCATGCACCTTCCACGCATGCACCCAACCTCGAAAACGTGGCTAAATAGGACAGCATAGTGCCGGGGCAGGTGGGCAGGCCCACCCGTGATCTCCAGTACCGATTCACCCGAACCGGTCAGAACCGGCTAAATACCACCACTGAGCTCATCACACTTTGCCCCAATTATTTCCTTTGGTTCTGCCAATGTGGAGTCCAGTTCTGAACAAGGTGGAGTCCAGATGAGCAATTTTATCAGAAAAGTGTTTGATCTTTCATATCAACATTAAAAAAAAAGGCTTTCTGAGCTGTCCTTACTTGCTGCTGCTGGATGACAATCTGCTGCTCATTCCCTACCCAGAATCTTTCCTATATCTGTGCAGTCCGCATCTTCTCTTCTCTGCCATGTTCTTCTCTCACCATGAACACAATCCTAATTTTCCATTCCAGGGAAGTGGATAAGAGCTCCTTCCTCAACAAACCTCTGCCTCTCACTCAAAGAATTGCAAGCTTATCGCTTATTCTGGATCTACCCATGACACACAATGACAAAATTCCAGGAGGGAGAGTGGCAAGTATTTGGCAAGTTTGATTTCTTCATCTGTAGAGGAAATAGATCCCTTAGCCAGCCACAAGAATTGCCTCCTATTTCGTCCAGTCCTTCCTTCCTTTCCTTTTGTGAATACTTTTAATGGAAGATGCCTTGGTTTCTACAAAGTGCAGCTTGCTCCAGCAAACATCACATAAATCAAATCCTCTGATTTAAGATTACAAACCTGGATCCAACCATTTCAGGAGGAGGAGCTGACTTAAATCAGGACATGTTGATTCACATATTATCAGCAAATTCAGTTTGCTGAAACTACATTGTGTATGTAGTTACAGTTTTGATGTGTGCGTGTGTGTGTGTGTGTATCCCACTTTATTTTCACAAATAACTCAAGATGGTGAACATATCCAACCCACCTTCCTCTTCTATTATTCCCACAACAACAATCTTGTGAGGTAAATTGGTCTGAGAGAGAGTGACTGGCCCAAAGTCAGCCAGCTGGCTTTCATGGATAAGGTGGGACTTGAACTCCCTGTCTCCCTCTTTCTAGCCTGGTGTCTTAACTAGACCAAACTGGCTTTCCAGTTTACTATCCAGTTTACTTTAATATAGGGACATGGTGGCGTAATAATTAAGATGCTGAGCTTGTCAATCGAAAGGTCGGCAGTTCAACGGTTCGGATCCCTAGTGCTGCGTAATGGGGTGAGCTCCCGTTACTTGTCCCAGCTTCTGCCAACATAGCAGTTCGAAAGCACGTAAAAATTGCAAGTAGAAAAATAGGGAACACCTTTGGTGGGAAGGTAACAGCGTTCCGTGCGCATTGCCACACCTTTGGCATTTAGTCATGCCGGGCACATGACTACGGAGACATCTTCAGACAGTGCTGGCTCTTCGGCTTTGAAACGGAGATGGGCACTGCCCCCTAGAGTCGGGAACGACTAGCACATACATGCAAGGGGAACCTTTACCTTTACCTTTTACTCTAATATCCAGTTAGGGAGTTGAAGAAAAGGATAAAGTAAAAAAATACCACATCAAAGCTGTGAATGAATGGTGATAGGTTTCTTTCTTACTCCCTTACTCCTACCCACCATGTACAATTACATCCATGCACTGGGAGGGAAGATTTAAATTGGTCTTGGACATGGATACTGGCCATACAGAAAATTTCCACAAGCTATAGCTATAACTAGCTATAACTACTATTATTATTCCTACTTAAAGAGAATTCAAGGTATCTTACAAACATTGTATTTATTACAAGCTTGTGGTGTGTAGGTTGAGAGAGAAAGTGGGAGAGAGAATGGCTCAAGGATACCCAGTGGTCATATGATAATTTGAAGCTACATTACCTTCAGTCTAAGTCCTGAACACTAACCAATTTACTGTTTATGAAATGTGACTTATGAGTGCTGTTCCTACTTTTGATCTAAAATAGCTATATTGAAATCTATGCTTCATTATTAACCCATAACCCAAAAAGCTATTCTTGGGTTATTCTTCAGAAAGTAGTACAAGGAAAGGACTTACCAAGCATGCCACTCAAGTAAATTTTTAATGCAACTCAGTGATTAAAATGCTGGCCTAGAAACCTGGAGACTGTGAGTTCTAGTTCTGTTTTAAGCATTAAGGCTG